TTTTACTTATTAATTTATTAACATTAGTTGTAAATCACAATATCTGTTAGTAATTTATGACTAATGTTAGTAAATTAACAAGTAAAATAAGTAATTTAACAATTAATGTTGCTAATTGTGATTGAACAATTAATGTCAAATCTTGTATAATAATTGATATATCAATTCATGTAATTTACAACTCATCTTGGTAAATAAATAAGTGAAGTAAAAAAATTAACAACTAATTATTTTACATAATAAGTGAAAGCTATTTTGATCTTTTCACTGTTAAAATTATTTTCATTTCAATTCTCCTGAATTGAATTGAAATTTTACATTGTTTTTAATTCATTGATAATTAAGTCATATTCCTAATACTTATTTCAAATACTCCCTAGATTTTAGCCCCATCATGTTGATCCCTCCAATAATATGCATTCAAATCAACATCTCTTAAGTTAAAGAATATTCAAGAGAAATATGAATATTGAATCAAAGTGAATTATCTCATTTATAAGACACGTTTTAAAAAATTTATTATATTTTATTTATAAGTTACAGTTTGATTTATAAAGAAAATAGGAGGAGTATTCCTTAAAATATTGTGGTGCTCTAGCATGAAGACCGATATGGCTTTTGGGTCACTTGATCCTAATGGCTCCCATATATGTAATCCTCACCATTCATCAAATTTATAATTAAAATAAATTTATTTAATAAAATAAAATTAATGGTGAAAATTAAGAGAATGAGAAAAAAGAAAGGGAGAGACACTAGAGCTCACGTGGGTCCAGCAAATCATCAACATATCAAGTTTAAATATTTATATATATTTTTACGTAAAATTATTCACTAACAATATATATAGTGATTATTATATCTCGATTGAGATTCCCAAAATATCATCACCCTCAATTATTATTGTCAAACTCTGAAATTGATTCTTTTAATTTATTGTTTTTTAGTTTATATCTTATAAAAATTACATTAACTTACTTATAAACTTGGATTAAATGTAAATTAGGTTAAATTTGTGAGTTAACTTTTCAATTTTACAGTTTTTATGTTTTAAATTTATAAAATTATATCAATTTACTCATATTGAACTAAATATAAACTATGTTAAACTCATTAAACACATCAATTTTTTACTAAATTGAGCGAGTTAATTATATATTATGTAGAACTTAATTTATAAAAATGGTAGAATCTAATTAAAAAAATAAAACTAAAAAAACTAATATTAATAAAAAAAATAAAAACAAGAAATTCTAAAAGTAAGTTGTCTAATTTTAAAATTTTTATGTTAAGTATAACATTCTATCAACGTAAATGAATTTAATTTTAATTATTTATATTTAAAATATATTTAAATTAAATTATGATTATATTTATATTTTAATTATTTAATTATATACTTGTAATAGCTATTTATTAATATAGGTGAAATTTTACAAATTTATAATAGGAATTTATGATTTGAATTTTCATGAGTTTACTTAAATTTACAAATTTAACAACATTGTTCTTAATTGAGTATTCATCAAGACTTAAATCTTTATTTTACTAATGGGCTCCATAAATCCTATTTGGGTTATAGGGGGAGCGCTTGAATAAATTGATTAGAGAAGACGCCCCCCATATCAACATGGCCAAATTAATTAACTTAATAATAAATGATGAACAGGGCGAATAAGCTTATATATATGTGTGAGATAAAATTTAGATAGTTATATAAACACATACCCTTACAGTATTTTTATCTAATTAAAAAAGTAAGTAAATTTTAAATTTAAACATGAGCTAAAAGTGCTTATAATTAAAAAAATTAATTAGTCATCATAAAATAAATAACCACGAGTAAAAAAATTGCTTATTTTATTTTAATTGAAGAAAATTAAAGTAAATAAAATATAAAAGCTTGACCATCTATTAATTTCCCATGCATGTATATTACCACTTATATCCTTGCAATTTAATTAACTGAATTAATTAGAAGGTGAAAGTGAAGGCGAGAGAGGAATAAAAGAAGCATGCCTCAGCAGGACGAGAAGACCTTTGCGTTCATGTGCTGGAAACCCCATGTGTCGCACATGCAAGCAAAAGTTGGAGTCTTTATCCTTTCGTTTCACCATACGATTAATTACTCATTTCATTTCCAGTTTTCATAAATCCACACAGATACTCAATCAAACTTCTTCCAAGGCTAGTTCAAGTGGATTTCTTCTTAGCCGTTTAATTAGGTAGTTTCAGTTTCACTAACAAGTTTACTGGTTTTATATATACATGCCATGCACGACAAGTATCCTTGTTGTATTTTAAAATTTTTATCTTTATCCTAGTTTTTTCTCGTAGAAAAGGAAGACATACACAGTCATGTGCACATACAATCATGTTAATGTTAAGCTCGAACTCAATAACTCTTTTAAAAAAGAGAGGTTACACTGTCGTTAGGACAATTAAACATCAACAAGCAACTTTATTATATGAATATGCGTGTTGATCTAGAGGTAACGTTATCAGAAAGTAACAACTAACAAGAATATATAATAGATTTGATACTTTTTCATATAAATAATGATTAGATTTTCCCCGGATGAATTCTCACTTCCATTTTGTTGTCTAGGACAGCAGCCCTCATCAATGATTGAGGAATTAAACCAAGAATATTCTATGTATCCTGGGACACACATATAGTGGATTAGCATGTTGAATTTATGTGACACGCAGGAAAAAGTGGCAGTAATTACATACATCACCCCTTGCCCCCACAACTTCCGAATCTGATAATACGAACAAATCAACTCAGTTAACTGCGCACGCCAGAACCATAGAAAGACAAGTATTATACACAAATCGAAGTGGACGTGTGCGTGATTGGCTAAGCTACCTCCCTTGTTTATGACTTAATACATCGATCACTATATATATAATATATATACGACTGGTTCATTATCGAAAAGCTACCGCTGGTTTTATAATCAACAAGAACCATGTATATGGCCATATATTAATAGTATGTTGGGACCATATGTATATAGTCTGACCCTGAAATATTAATATGGCTTCTCATTGGCTTCTACCATATTTTAAAAACTCTGTAAGCAAATAATTTTATAATATCAAAATATCTGATCACATGCACTGAGTATCATTTCTTGGTTTGTATCGAGAATTCGTCGTCTTGTCTTCCTTTGCGTAACACGAACTGATACCACAGTCTCGAAAGATGATATGCAGCTTTGAGATTCCACTTGCAAAAATACTAGTAAGTTGCTGTGACACATATACGTAATATTGCAACTTGCAATCTCTCTCAGCGGCCCCCCCCCCCAACAAAAAAAAAAAAAAAACAGGGTTTTTTCTCTCCTCCAACACACACTCCGGATGTGGAACACTTCCCGTATATATATTATGTTTGTCTAATACCCTAAAGGCAATAATTTGGGAATGTCGAAATTTCCCAACTTACCCTTAATAAATGCACAATCTTTAAAAGCATTTTTTTTTCACGTGTATCTTTTTATTTTCTACTCATCGAAAAGTGTGAAAAGGTAAAATTAAAAAAAAAATCATTAATGATCAATTTTTTAATGCAAAGTGACTTATTTTGTGTATGTTTTATTTTCAGTTTACATCTAATAAAAATACATTTAGAAAACCAAACTATTTGATAAATTTGACAAAAACACATCTTAAATGTAGTTTAAATATACTTTTGATGGTTACCTAAACAAGCAAAAAAAATGATTATGAATTTTTTCTAAAAAGCTACTTATATATAAAACTAGAAGAAGCACCCCCTTTCAATCATTTTTATAAGTTACTTTTAACTAACTCATCAAAGCCAATGTGAGTTAGTTTGAATAATAAAATTATCTTAAAAATAAACCACCTTTTTAATATTGTCCCCACTTTAAAAAAAGAGAAGAGTGATTTGATGTGTGGGAATAATTTTTTTAGAAATTGAAATATTGTATTTATTTTTAGAATTTAGATGGTAGTTTTAGAATTGTACAACAAATATTACTAAAATTAAGAAAAAGTGACCTACGTAAAATACCAAGAAAACCTTCTAAAAGGTGACTTATGTAAAAGACGGTAGGAAGCAGATGATTATGATTATGTTAATGTTGGTCTGATAATTGATTTTACGCAAAAGCCGGTACATGAATTAATTGCATCGATGTTTGAGAAATTTATGGGAAGCTGGAAAAGATATTCGAGAAATTTTAAATGCTAGTATTGTTATCCTTGTTTTATTTATTTATTTATTTTGAAAAATAAGGACAGCCTCTAATACGTTGTTTTCAGGGGGACGCAAACATCAACTGTATTATGAGTGAACGAGCTCAAGCTGACCAATCACCAAACCTATGATAGCTAAATGGTTATAATATATATCACATGTCAACATGCCAGGTCCATACATAATTGGCACAAATTCGTTGCCCTTGCCTCTCATAGTCCCTTGTGGCCTTAATTATTAAAAAAGATAAATAAAAATGTGAAGATCAATTATTGGGCAGCTGGCATATTCTACACTCACATCCATGCCCAGTCTCATCTCTGGCCCATGCCCAGCTCGTTACTGAGATCTCTTGAGAAATTAACGTAATTTTTGAGTTCTCACCGCAGAAACCAATGTAAGAAAAACACCATCCAGTTATATATATACAATTTCAATATTATGACACCTTGAGAGTGGCTCCAACTTATGGCTATGGCCTCCATCTCAAAGTGGGGTCACTAGCTTTTCCCAGTCGCGTTTTGGTCCATTCACCCACCAATGGCACACCCGTTCTTCCATTGCTCTGTTTTCTTCATTAAGCCTCCCATTTATTCCCAATTATACATATTCTCCTGTCCTCATCACTCATTATTTTCACCATATATCAGTCACACGATTCCTCACAAAAGCTAAATTAATATCTAACTTTGTTTCATCCCATGTTTTTTCAGTCTCAAGGCACTATTTTAAATAAAGGTGGAATTCTGTTGCAAGTAAACGCTGATGATTAAGAAAATAGACTATTAATTATATAATGGTCCAGGGAAGAGACGAGGAAGAGATCAAAAAACTCACGCACGGCACACCGAATGTACATTTGCGTCTGGGAATCGAGGTTCCATGGATGGTTCATGTTTTTTTTTTCGTCATCCGAACTACTACTAACCCAAATTAGCTATATATAAATCTAAATCTTAGTAGCATCTCTTCATGAGCATCCGTTCATTCATATGAATCTACCAGACCATACAACTTGAGTTGTTCGTCGTCACTTCTTTTGGAAATCTACTATTACCAGTCCCAGAATCCCAGAATTTGACGACGTTACCGTTGAGGTCCGTTAAATCCTGGTACATGTACCACCCGCTCACTCCCGTCCTCTTCTTCAACATTTTATCCCATTTCTCCCACCACTCCGATTCCAAGCCGCAATTGCCGTCACAACACTCCTCCGACGTCCCCTTCAGCTCCTCCACCGACTCGCATTCGTTGTCATCCTCGTAGTACACAGTAAACTTCCCCCTGCTCACTCCATCGACGTCGCCGTTGCCTGCGGAGAAAACACTCATCGCCGGCTCGCTCGTGACGGGAGCTTCATGTAGAACGAGGTTTTCCACCGGTCGCTCTGGTTCGTCCGACCGAGACCCGCTTAAGCTCCGATCATTGGAGGGCGGCGGAGGAGGAGGAAGAGGCAAATGGGGTCTAGCGCAGATCTTCCACAGGCTGAGGGAGGCGGTGAAGAGGGCGAGCCAGGTCCAGAGGTTGTTGACGAGGGTGAAGAAGCCGAAGCTGGCGCAGTTGAAAACGAGAGCTTCGAGAGGGGAATCGATGGCGTCCATGGTGGTGCGTAGCTGTGATGCGAGCAAGAAGCGTGGGAGAGAGTGAGGATTTAAGGGGCAGGGGAAGGGCAGGTATCCGAGAGAAGATGCCGAGAATCGAGAGCCAAGATGCTAATTGTTATGGTAGATCCGTATTTTATACCCGGCGGTCTTCATTTTTACACGTGTAAGGTTCAGAATCCCCCCTTAAATAGTTAAACTAATCAGTTATTAGATTAAGATTAAGCACTTCATAAGAAACTTGACCGCGGGGGGACGGTAATCACAAGGTTTCCAAGGTCAAGTGATCACGTTTAGCTTGCTTTAACTTAAACTGCATGTTAATTAATCTGATCGATGCGTATCCATCGTCCATACCGTGTCTTGATATTGGGTTGAATGAAATGTCAAAAGTAAAAAGAAGGAAAAGTGGAGGTGTGGGTGGATGTATGGAGGCATGCCGTGGAGCCTTTGTCCAAGCGAAGGCGATTGTATGAGAGAGGTTAGGTGGAGGGAATGGTTGGTGCAACTTGCATGGATATGATTGTCGATTGATACGCCACTTCATTCTTGCGTATGATAAGGATGAAGAGTGAAATAATATTTTGTCCTCCTCTACCCAAAATCGCCTTTTCTATTTAAGAAAATCAAAATGCAAAATTAGATTTTCGTTTTCCAAATCATATTTTTGTTATATATATCAAATGTAGGCACTTCATTGCATTTCTAATAAGTTTTCTATTTAAAACTTGAGCACTTTTTATGTTCAATTAAATTAATAATTTGATTTGATCCATCAATTAATAATTTAATACCACTCGATCGGTACTTTTCTGTTAATGCATAATATTAACATCTGGCAGCAGGAATGGTTATACTTAGCAATTCACCCAGCAAGTGATTAACAGATAAATAATGCTTTGATAGGTGTCTAAATATATCGTCGTTCTTTCATGATTTTATCCTCAAACCCAAAAATAAAAGTCAATGATCTTGTGTTGTTAAGGATTAACATTTGTCATTTTACACTAAGCAGTGAGTATCCTTATCCTTCTCTAACTGATTAATTACTTGTATTTTTTATATATATATTAAAAAATTTAGGTGAGTTGAGTTTTGGGGAGCTTATCAGAATTAAAGCATGCCTTCAGGTTCAAAATGTTTGCAGAATCACTTATAGATTTCTATATTTGTGTTTTAATGTATTTTTTATTTTACATGAGTAACCCAATCTTTCAATCAAGGCAGGGATGTAATTTAATAAGAATTACTGGGTTGTGATCTTTGGTTTACTTTTTTATTTAAATTCGAAATTCGAAATGTATATTTCAATTTGGGTTTCATTAATATTTATCTCTCTTGTACTTTAACAAGCTAGATATGCTTGATGAATTTCAAAACTGGATTTACAAAAAAGGGGTAAAATTGACAAACTAAGAGATGACGAATAGACACGCATTTGGAGGGGTGAGCATAATAACTCTATGAATTGATCTGAGAATTCGTGGCGCTTTGGGCGGTAACTTCATGGTTTCGCTTGATCTGTAATGTGTGCAATAAAAATATCCCTTTTCTCATCAGAAAAGATAAAAAATCATCCCTATTAAATAGTATAGTAGTATTAATCACCCATAATATGTATACTCCTTCTTTTAAAAAATATAAAATATTTTTAATCAAATTTTACCTCCAATAAATTCATTAATTGTTTTTAAATTAATGCCATCTTTCCATATTTATATTTATTTTATTAATAGGGTGTTTCATTTAAAAATAACTATAGAGTGGTTTATTTATCAAGAGTATTTAAAAAAAACACATTAATTATATTTTGACACATTAAGAATGCTTTATATCTTTTAACATCAAACTTTTTAAAATATATTTTATATTTTTGAAAGGACAGAGTAAGGAAAATCCTCCACGCTCTTATTGATGGAAAGATCTTGGCTTAAGTATCGTCTCACTTTTTATCCTTAATATGCACTCATTTAAATCAGTCTTCAACTAATCACTTTGGCCAACAAAAAAAAATTCATTCTTCAACTTGCGATATGGACTCAATTGATTGAATTTGGAGTATACTTGGTTTATTGTCTTCTTATAGACATGTCCCTAAATCGCGTTGAGATCTTACCATTGCGTGTCAACTCTGTGTACTCTTAAAATTACAACAATCAAACTCAGTTAAAAACATATAAACTCCTTCCGTGCTTATTATGAAGGCTTTGATTAGGGGCATGTTTAAATAGTAATTACCTTTTATTGAGGGTAATTTTAAGGCTGTATACAAAATAATTAATTATAGCTAACTTCATCAATATGCATGAGATTGTCAATAGGAGCTTATTAAAAGAATTGGAAGGAGCTATTGAATAAACCATGCCAATATTTTTATACTATTGTTACTATAAACTTGATGGCAGCAGTCCTTTAGGATAGTAGTTTATTAGTATTTTGATGCCTACGTACTGCTGAGTTTGTATGTATTTAAAAAAAAAAATTATTATGAAGTGAGTACTTGATTGAATGACCAATTCTTGTTTGGAAATTTCCAAGAGATAATTAAAAAAGGGCTGAGGTACAAGTTACTGCTTGAGTAATGGGAAATGGGTGAAGTAATGGGGAAGTGCATGAACAGGCATATGATGCGTGTGACAATTAGGAGGACAATCCAAGTGATGGAGTCCACACTTCCACGAGATTCACGGAACAGGAAGCAACTTCCTTTTCTCCTGACTTCCACTCTTGTGTTTTCATGTACTCCTCCCTCTCAAATTATAACATATTTTTAAAAAAGTTTTTTTAAATCTAAAATGCTTTAAATAGATTAAAATTTTATTAAATATATCAATTTTAATATTATAATTTTTCTCTTTATAATTAATTTTCATCTCTTCTCTTTTTAATATATTAAATGATGGATATTTTTAAAAATTTATATTTTTGTTAAAAAAAAGATTGTTAAGTGTATTTAATGAAATTTATTGGTATGTAAGATTTTCTCTAAAAGTATTTTATAATTTGAAATAGATGAAGTAAATAATAAATGCTTTCAAACCTGAAATTAACAAATTCCTCTTCATATTTTATTCATAAATCACTTCAAACATATTTTACTGAAATTAATTTTTTTAATTTATTAACTCTATTTAAAAATTTAATATTTTTTAACTTTACCTTTATTAAATATACATAAATATTTTAATATTATATTGTCTCTCTCCAATATTCAATGGAGGACAAATAAAAAAATTTATAATAAAAATTTAAATATAAAAATTTATAACTAGGATAAAAAAATTCTTTCTTTATTCTATTAATATGACTAAAGAGGGCATTTTATAATCAACAATAGGTTAATGGGTAAGAGTGAAAGTGAAATAAAACTGGTGTCATATTTCAAACAACTCAAATAAACAGATAGACGGGACCCTATATATTAATGGGCACAGCGTTTGCGTTGAATTGAACACATGGTTTCTTAATAAATGCATTTTGATGTGGGCTATGAAATTCATACTGGTTTTCATTTTCTTTACAGTTGAGCAGTTGACCTTCCGCTTACATCGCGTGGTTCTTCTGGTCTCCAAAGAAGCACAGCGCATTTTCTGTCCTTGGTTTTGGTCTTTTTCAAACACTTGTTTTATTTAATTTCCTGGACACTGTTTACAATTCCAAGTTTATCATTTTCAAACACACATTTGCTCTCATTTACTTTTCAGCTAGAATCCTCCCCCCATGTGATGCACGGGAAAGATTTCGTCATATGTAAAGAGTTATTTTAGTATAGAAAATAATAATTATTTTCATTTTAAAACAAAAACTAATTAAATTTGTTATGAAGTTTCAACCAAATCAATTTGCAACAATAGATTAAATGAGTTAAAAGTTGCTGAATAGATCCATGTGTTATAAGATCCATTTGTGAATTTGTTCAATAATTTTATCTTCTATATATGTGGTTTAAAAGAGTATTTGAAGCTACTTGATATTTTGTTTTATCAGAATTTTGGGCTGAGAAAACATTAAACATAGTAATTTAGTGTTCTAAAAGTAAGGGATACGATCTACACCTAAGCACATTAGTCTATAACATAATATGCCAAGAAAGTCAAGCTCTAATGTTAAGACATTTTGCTAAGAAAAGGGAAGCAATGTGAAGGAATCTTAGACAAGGTTAAAGATTTCATATTAATGACATGTTTGGTAGAGTAGAATTGGGTTTGAGGAAGTGGAAGTGATAGTGGAATAAAAAAAACAAGGTGATTGTTAGACAAGATCTCACTTCTTCATGGACGTCAGTTCCACAAAAAATGATAGAAGTGGGTTTCATATTTATACCTAAAGAACTCACTTCCAACCTAATTTCTTTTCTCATTTTCTCACTTTTACCCTCAAGCCTCTCCTTCTAGGTTGACAATGTTCGTTAATAGCAACACGGTGGAGGACTAAATTGGTGGCAAAAATGACTGCTACAATTAGATTGACAATGACCTCTCCCCTTGAGACGATGATCGAACCTCATTTTCCCCTATGACTTCATGCTTGGATTGAGCTCCCTCCATTATTCTTATTGACATTAAAAATCACATGAGTCACCAGAACAGTTGAAGGTTTTATCCCAAAAAGATATCTGTGTGTGCAACCCATTCAAACCTAGTCAAAGGTCAAAGGTTTTATGACTTTATCCCTTCATCATATCTCTATTACTATCTTTCAAAGGTCAAAAGTTTTATTCTAAGAAGATTGATTTTCAATTCTTGATTTGCTTCCTTTGCTCCAAGGAACACCACTTCATTCCTAACTCGTGTTAAGAAATCTGGCAATGTTATGTAAAATCCACCCTATCTAATCATAACTAAGACCATAATCCATGGTAATCAAGGGATTTACCCATAAGAAAATTACTAAGCTTGTAATTTAAACTAATAAAATTCCAAGTTTTCATAGTTTAAAATACCTTAGAAACCATTTATTAGTTTATAATTAGAGTAAAATGAAGTTACGGAAGCATGAGATACCTCAAAGGAGTTGAAAGCAGTTGAAAAATTTCAAGGAAATGAAAACAGAGCAATATGCCATGGCTTATACACTATGCATCATGCCGCAGC